GACCTGAGCTTCCATCCTAAAAGGTCAACTTGATAGAGGGAGTAGCTCATGTCTTAATATAGCACTTTGTTGATTCAAACTTTCCCGGTGTGGGATTCTAACACCCTCCTCACGACCAGACTCTTCGTCTGGATCGTGCCGTCATTCATTTTTTTCTTCAATTCGTCATTGTCATTTTTTTATAGTCGTGTCAATCATTTTTCATAAGGGGGCCCATACCATGGATCGATTTGGCTCTGATACCATGTTAAGACCTAAGGTTCCATCCTAAAAGGTCAACCTGATAGGAAGAGTAGCTCATGTCTTAATATAGCACTTTGTTGATGCACATTTTTCCGGTGTGGGATTCTAACACAAGATTTTAATAAAATCTATAAAAGATAACTTACATATTTGATACACATGCGTTAGACCTGCACAAACACGGGCTCGGGCCGGGCTCGGGCCGGGCTCGGGCCGGGCTTATTCTAAAAAATCTGCCCACTTGTAGTGGGCGGGTCCGGCCTGGCCCGGTAAAACGGGCCTCCTCATATGTCCAAGCCCGCCCATGAGAGCGGGCCGGGCTGCCCACCGGGCTTTTGGGCCCGGAAAATATCCTTTTGTCAACTTTGTTAAAAAATGAAAATATTTATAAAATAACATCACAACATTTTAAATGCAATTAAATAATTAATGTACTCACAACACATTTTGAACACAAGAATACGTTTAAATGCGAAACACAAAACGATTCTGGAAAATAAAAAGCATCCAAATTCCAAATAAGCATTCATATTCCATAATTAAAAGCACAATCACAGATTCACAATGTGCAACGGAAATAGTCAAGAGTATCTCCAAAAAGACATGGTAATGAAATTATACTTCCAACTATTTTAAGTTTTATACGTATAGTCATATAATGTATAATTATATATAGAATAATATATATAATATAATATGTTTACGGGCCGGGCTTTTAGGCCCGACCGGGCCTATATTACAACCCAAGCCCGCCCATATTTTAAACGGGCCGGGCCGGGCCCGGCCCGGTGGGCTAAAGCATGTGTCCAAACCCGCCCATTTATATGGGCGGGCCGGCCCGGAATTGTGCAGGTCTAACATGCGTGTGTACGTTGTGTACAGGGTTTAATGCACAAAACCTCCTCGTGAAATATAAAATGCATTAGCCCACTGTGATTTTAAAAATGCGTCAAAGCTCCCTATATTATGGTTATTCATGCGCAAAACTCCTTCTACGAACAAATTTAAGTGTCAAAAAATGAAAAATGATTAGTTTTTTGTATAATTTAGAAATTTTGACAAAGTTACTTGCATATTTAATCATATTATTCAGAAATGTGATTTCAAAATTGTAAAATTTATTTTTGGAGGAGGTTTGCGAATGAATAATTATAGCACAAGAGAATTTGACACATTTTTTAAATCAAGGAGGCTAATGCGCTGAATTTATGTTTTACGAGAGAGTTCAGTGCATTAAACCCGTGAATTTTGTGATATTAAAAGCTACTGCACGTAGGCTTTGGTGGCCTCCATCTCGTCAAGCCGGCGCTGGAGGGCCGCGATGATTTCGTCCCGGGGGTCCTTCGGGAGGGCTTCCGCCCCCTGCGAATGGACCCGGGCCGAGTGGGCTTGATTGATTTGATGGCGTGCGTCGTCGGCATGGAGAGGTGTCTTGCCCTTGTCCTGAAGGGGACGTCTTTCATTGGCCCTGGAGACGGACCCGCCACTTTCCTGAGGCCTTTGGAACGCCTTCCCCCCGAGGCGGTCTTGGACCCCTCGGCGGTCTTGCGCCCCTCCGAGTCTCTCGAGGGCGGAGGTCCGGAGTTGCTCCTTGTTCACGTTGTGGCGGTCTCGGGACTGGACTTCCTGGGAGGCCGTATCTTGGGCCACGACCCCCTCGGAGTTCCCCATCCGGAGGACCGGGTTACCGAGGGGTCGTGGATGAGGGGGAGGCATAATATTCTCCCCCACCTGAGGTTGGAGGGGAACCAAAGTGCCGAAGGCACCCGGATTCTAAGTGAGCGTCTGGATGAAGGCGGAGAGCGCCGATTGAACGTCGATGGTAATGACCGAGGGCTAATTTGATTTTCGCTCCGGTCCTTTTTCTTGGCCTCGATGCCGAGGCGGGCATCAGGGGCGTTTTGTTGAATCTGCTGGCGTAGGTCGACAGCCGTCTGGTCCAACCCGGCGATGACGCCGCTCCCAGGAGCCCTGTTAGAGGCCTCGGGGACGTCGACCTCGCCGAGGGCCAGGTTCCTGTCCTCTACATTCTTGGAGTTGGCACGAGTTGTTCTCACCATTTTAGATGGGTGTTTTTTTGTTTGGTCGAGGGGGAGGGTTTCTTACTTGATTGTTCGACCTCTCAATGAGAGCACCAAATGATGGATAGTGTACCCGGGGGTAGCTTATCCGAGGGGTTATTACGGGGAATAACAAGAGAGAAGTCAGAGCAAGTAAGTATAGAGAGAGAACGTATATTGGAGAGTGTTCAGCGTTTTCAGCGTGGTTACAAATGGGGAAATGGGGTGCTATTTATAGTAGCAATAAATGTCGGACAGGGTCACGTGTCAAGCGTTCATTGGCCGAGTGACGAGCACTTTGTCATGGTGCGTCAAAATAAATTCAATACTAAACACTTATACGTAGTATAGCGTAGTAGAGTTCGTATCCACAGGGAAAGGAATAATTCTCTTTTTATGATACTTAGTAAATAAAAAGGGGGGATTTGGATTGAGTGATTTAATTTAATTAAGAACTAAGATCATTGTTTAATTAATATTCAAGGAAAGAAGTTAAGAAAATAACTCACAACTTTAATAATCAACAAGCTTCAAGAGCAACACCAAGAATGGAAGTTTAGCTCCTCATTTGGAGACTAAACATAGCTAGAAAAATATAAAGAAATGCTATTCTAAACTGAGCTAAAGAGTATGGAAGAAGGGATGATTTTTTGTGAAGAAAAAGTGTGCTATTTATAGGTGTTTTTCAACACCTTTGGCCGGGTACCCGACCGGGTCAAGTACTCACCCGACCGGGTCCATGTCAAAAACAAATATCCTCCACGTTCTGGCGATCTTCGGCATGTTAAAGTGTCCGGGTCAAGTCAGACCCGACCGGGTGGGGTAGGGGGCCCGACCGGGTGAGTGCAAAAATTGGATATTCTTCACGTTCGGGTGATCTTTGCACACCGGGTTGTCCCCGGTCACTTCTCACCCGACCGGGTGAGGTAGTGGGCCCGACCGGGCCATGCACTTTCTTTGCATTTTCGTTTTTCACTTCTTACCCGACCTGGTTGAGTGTTATACCCGGTCGGGTATTTGCTCTTGGGCAGCCAAATCTTCTTTTTCTTCACTTCAAAGTCTTCCTTTCCAACACCACAAATCCTAACTAAACTTTACAACTGACAAATAAAGACTAAAATACAATTACAACTGAAATCACATAAATGTTTACAAACTAAATAAAACGTCAAACAATCACCATCAATGAAACATAAAAACATACAATTATGCACTACTAATTAGTGTGCATCACCGAGGGGTCACCTCAACTGGTTGGCGCTGGCAACCGCATGTGGCCGCATTTAATGCGGCTGTTGGATGGGACGTTGTACAGGGTACGGTGATCTGTACACATGTGGAGTGGATATTGTGTCGGAAGAGGCGCCCTCGGTAGCAGATGACTAGCTGAGGGCTCTGAGTACCGGGGACCCCCTTAGTGCCGAGGGCTCCCACTGCCGAGGGCTACTGATTTTCGCCGTTTTTCCCAGTAACTTTGTTTTCCTGTCTTGGCCCTCTTGTGAGAGTTAGAGCCTTCGGCCAGGGGGCCGAAGGCACCCCTGGTGCGCATTGTGGGCTGTTGGGTACTCTGGGCACTGTGATTTGGGCCTGTTGTGCTTTCTGGGCCTGTTGGGCCTTTATTGGAGTAGTAGGAGTCTGTGGGCCGGGGGTTCCCGGGCCATATACTCCATCAAGACAGTAAATAAACGTGTCTTTACAGCGGAAGGTTCAAAGGATAAAACCTACCTCTCCGTGTGCAGGGATCATCCAGTGAACACAACGTGTCCTCCTATCTTCATGTCATTTTAAATCTCGAAAATCAATTTTCATTCATGTGGGGGTGACCATGGTGTCGGTGATGACAATGGTGGCTGGCAGATCGAGAGACGGGAGAGAAAAGAGAAAAAAAACTTTGTGCTCATTAGAGTCTAGCTCTTGATACCATGAAGAAGTATAATTGAAGAAGTAGTATCTTCTGTGTATTATATGTGTCGATCAGTACATGTTTATATATACAAGGGGAGTTGGTTGTCATCCTATAATTAAGGAGGTAATTAAGCACTACCACTAATTAAGGTAACTATTCTAATGGTAAGAGATATTACAATTAAGGTAACTATTCTAATGGTAAGAGATATTATAACCAATACAATATATGTACAGAATATGTATAATAATTATTTGCTATTAGGAACATTGTTCATTTTCCCCACTCCCTTTTGTATATAGTAAGATTTATTCTTCCCCATTATATTTTAATATTCATATTTTCTAAAATAACAATATGTTATAATAATTATTGACAATACTAGTCTTCAGGGTTTTTGACAATTAAGATTGGTATACTCGATAGGAGTACTCGTTTCAGCACTTAGAGTTTCTTTTATTACTAAATGCTTCACATATTCGAAAATAAATTAAGAAATGCCATTAATAGAAGTAAAATGTGTGAGTTTGATACATAGAATTACTACTTTTTCTAAATAAAGAAGTTATGCAATCCTAAGACTACAATATTATAATGAGATTATGCTGCTATTTTTATGCGACGTTATGATTTCAGAATAATTCAATAACTCTATTTAGGAAAAGAATCATTACGAAAGTAAGATTTCAGAATGTATAACTTACTCGATTTATTTTTGTAGATACTCTACTTTAATTTAGAAAGTAGCTTATTCTTAGTTAATTAATTTTCAAAAAAGTTCCAATAAATGCGGAGTATATTTTACATGCATTATATATCATACATTCTATAAATGCCGGCCACCAGCTTCGCCGTTCATCACAATAATAATTTGTTTCCGGTCACCAAATTCTTAATGGTGAACCCTCTAAGCGGCGGGCATTGCGATGACAAAAAGCTGCCGCACTTGCGTCAGAAGCCAAGCACCGATACGGGTGGATGGAGCTTTCTTGTGGAGGAGCTGGCTGCAAATAAAGGTGCGGCAGAGGACGATGAGGCGGCGGCGGCCGAGGCAGTGAAGAAGTACGTTCAACTGCCCCCACCTTTGCCGCCTCCGCGGCGTAAGAGCCGCTCCTTATCCGCACTGAGTACGAAAAGCCTAGAGATGTGTACTGAGGGCTTGGGCTGCGAAACTGGCTTCGACATTACTCTGAGCGTTGAGGAATTGATCGGAAAGCCGCCGCCGCCGGAACCATCACCAACGAAGCCGGCGGGGATGATTACGGGTGACAAAATCAACAAAAGTAAGGCCTTCCCGCCTGCGCTGAGTTCAAGCAAAGGTCGGGCAGGACTTGATGATGGGGTGAAGATGATGCGGCCTCGTCGGGAAGGCGGCCGGTTGGTGTTGACCGCCATCTCTGTAACCCGACCCGACTCTTTCTTCCTGGCAAGCAGATCAGATGGGAGGCTCATGCTTTCCTTCAAAATGGCTTCAAACAATGGTTCCGAAGCTGATGATGACGACATCAATGAAGTTTAAAATGAAGATTAATTTAGCTAGCTGGCGCCTTTTTGTGAGTTCAACTATATATAAATGGCTTCCCGACAACACTTTACTTTTGTGGAGAGATCCTTGTCCTTCTTCTTCACAGACCCACACTTGTATTCATATTTATTTATAACTTTTTCTTTTGCAGTGTTCCAAAATATTTGCAACCATTCACTTTTAGATAATTAATTAATAATATTTAAAACAATTTAATACACTACTTAATCTACTTGTGTGGTTCACATTAGAATGAATGGAGCAATTAATTTAATGTTTACATTTTTGTAAACCAGGTATCCCAAAATGGATACACCAAGCATTGCTCTATATTGACCAAAGTGCAATTATACTTTCATTACATATATTTTTAGCTACATTCTCATGTGTAAATAATTCTTGGATGTTGCAAAGTGATTTAAACGCATAATACTTGCATGTTACTTATCAAGGGCGCACCTTCTATATTACGTAACGTAACCTTGAGTAGACAAAATTAACCTTTTCAAATTTTGATTGAAATTGCTACATATACGTAGTAAAAGTTTAGTGCTTCACAAACCATCCACTAACAATTTTAATTTCTTTGAAAAAAATCTTGTCCGTCCATTAGTTTGGTGCGATGCGTCAAATTTTTTTTACAAACAACAACTTTTAAATTTTTGCTTTGAGTTTTACAAAAATAAAATGTTCGATTAATTGAACAATATTCTATAATCTTCCATTACACCATTGCCATATGGAACGAATGTACTTTAAATATAATCTTTTTTAGTAGTCATAAATCATAAATTAATATGGTTAAAATTATTTTTCTCACTAAATTTGTTGAAGAATTAAAAGTGGAAAAATCCAAAATTGAGTACCAAAAGTATCGGTGACACAATAATCGGAGGGTCGAGAGTGACAAAAGCTCTAATACCCTCTATAGTACTCCATAATAAGATAAAATTGAAATTATGAAGGGTATATATATAGAGGAGTAATCTTCCGATCAGACCTTCCTGACCGGAACCTCCGTCCTGACGGCGGCTTTTGGGGCCCTTCCAGGTGGAATTTTTTGATGAAATATTTTGGGAATGTTCTCTATAAAGTCTAGTTTATTCACAAAACATTTTAGCTAAAGTTCAATAGAGAAAGCAGTCAAATAATTTTTGGAAGATAACTGAGCCAAAATATACATATAAAAACGCAATCATCTTCCAAAAATTGTTTGGCCTTCAGATTGAATTTTAAGCTGATTCAAACTTACTTTTTTCTTATTATTACGCAATGCAATGTCCGAAATTAAAATTTATGTGTTTGATAAAAAAAGTTGATAGATAAATTTGATAAGCCGAAAATAGAGTCACCAAATGGGCTCATAATTACGGAGTATAATACTACTAAATAGTGTCCTATTTGATTATAAAAATAAAGATTACCAAGTAAGTATGTCGTAGGTGTGAAATTAGCAAGTACCTTGCAGGTGTGAAAATTAAGGACACTGTTTTTAAAAGGGAAAACTATCAAATAAGCCCTCGAACTTTCATAAAAAGTGCAAATAAGCCCTTTTTCAAGAGGCTTTGTTCTCCTGTCGCCATTTGGGGAAGTTTCCGGTGGAATTTTTTGATGAATGTTTTTGAGCATTTTCTTCATTAAGTCTAGTTTACTCATACCAAACTTCAGCTAAAAATTCAATCGGGAAGGCAGTCAAATTAATTTTGGAAGATAACTGCGCAGTTAGACAGCACAATATATTTTAGAAAATCATTTGACTGCCTTCTTGATTGCATTTTTAGCTGAAATTTGGTATGGGGAAACTAGACTTAATGAAGAAGATGCTTAAAAAAATTCATCAAAAAATTCCAACATAAATCGCCCCGAATGGCGACATCCGGACAAAGCCTCTTGAAAAAGGGCTTATTTGCACTTTTTATGAAAGTTCGAGGGCTTATTTGATAGTTCTCCATTTTTAAAATAATTTCAAGATTCATATAACCTGATTGCTAAAATCTTATACAACTAATCCGTATATTATTATTTTATAAAAACTTATAGTAATTGTTTGTACAATTGAAGCCATCATACAAAGCGGTTCTTTAAAAACCTAAAGTATGGCTACAGAATGCATATCATGACGTGCGTGTGTGTAAATAATTGAGCATGTCAAAAAAGGGTACAAGTGTCCGCAAATGCACAAAATTGGTTGCGCGAAGTAGTTTCTGGGGTGCGCGGAGTGAGGGCGCTTATCAATGTATAGAGATCCAATGCATACGTAGTACTTTTTTACTCTCCTAGGAAGTATTACCTCCATTCCCAAATTCAACTTTCTTCTCCCAAAATAAGGATGTTTTTTGTAATTCGTCCCAGACCATATCAGACCAGATCAGACCAGATTAGACCAGACCAGACTTGGATAGTTATAAAAATAAAAAGAAACCAGATCAGTTCAGACCAGACCAGACCAGACCAGCAAATTACAATCCAAGTAAAAACATCCTAAAGTTCACACTTTAAATTATTTTTATATTTGGTAAGTTTTTATTATTTACTTACTCTTTTAATCTCGCATACCTTTATTGGATCGATATGTATTATCCGGATTTTGTCACGGATAAATCCGTGACAAATAATTTTCGTGACAAATCCCAGAATTCCGTGACAAAGCCCGTGACAAATTTGTCACGGCCGGAATCCGTGACAACAATCCGTGACAAACGGCGTATTTTTTTGTAGTGTTTGCTCAAGCTAGTAGCTCATTTTGGCTAACTAGCTTTCTCAAGCAAAAGAGAAAACAATGCTCCAATGATAAGCTATTGGCTTTAAAATTGCAAGCAAGTCCTCGTAACCATTGGAGATGCTCTAATACACCAAGGGCAACTTTGGAAAGAAACCTTTATTTTTTACTCTATTAAAAAACCCTGGAGTTAAATTCATTACTTAATTTTGGAATGGATGGAATATTTTTCTCTCTTTTTTTACTTTTCTTTCACGCCTACAGAATTTACGTCAATACTCCTTATTTTGGATGACCTGTTTTCTTCCATCTATTACCAGCGGATCATTTCTCCTTTATTTATTACCATCTTATTTGTTTCTACATTATAGCACTTTTAATCTCTTAAACAACACCAATATTAAAATGTAATATCCGTGTTTTGAAGTGTGTAAATGTAACCCATCATTTGTTTGAGGGGTGGGGAGAAAAGAGAGGAGAGGGAGACGAAGACCCAAAGAGACTTGGATTTGAGGAATCGGAACTGATATGCGTCTTCTTAGGTTGAATGAGAGTATGACTTTGGAGAGGGCAAAGTGGATGGCTCACATTCGGGTGGACGATTGATCTCTTTTCTGTATTTCATCTCTCTTCTCTTTTTATCGTTTCTCTCTTTTATCATTTATCTTCTTTATCTTTTTATGTTCTGATGTTATTTTTATCTTCTAGTTTTTTATACTCTTTTATCTTTTTATCTTTTATCTTTCTTATATTCTTATGTTATTTTTATCATATACGAAGTATTTATTTATCTTTATCGTATTCGTTTTTTTCTTGTCTACCTTCTCTTTTTGGCATCAATATCATGGATGGATTCATGTTAGCTGACCCCAAAATCTTATAGGATTAAAGACTTGGATGTTGTTGTTGTTGTTGTGTAAGCGTAGTTCTCGCCTACATTGTAAATTTCATCCATCAAAGTAGCACATCAACACCTTTGGCCGGGCACCTGACCGGGTAGAGTATCCACCCGACCGGGTCTGGTCAAAATCAAATATTTTCCATGTTCTGGTGTTCTTCAGCACGTCTGGACGTCCTCGGTCAAGTCTCACCCGACCGGGTGAGGTATAGGGCCCGACCGGGCCAAGCAGTTTCTTGGAGATTGCATATGTTAACTCAAACCCGATCGGGTGAAGGTTTCCACCCGGTCGGGTATATATTCCTGGGCAGCATTCTCCTTGTTTTTTTCTTCCTTTTCCTTGCCAACAACTCTATCAATACTTCCTAACTTACAAATAAAAGCTAAAAACACTTACAAATAAAAGTAAACAAATGTTTACAACTACATACAAATGGTAAACAATCCAGACAAAAAAAATATAAAAACATACATTTATGCACTACTAACTAGTGCATATCAATAGTAATACTACGTACATGTTATTATTTTTGTAATTATTACTATTATAATATAATTCGTGATAAGTATTGAAAATGCAATAGTCCTAAATCAGAATACATATTCCTGAAAAAACTATATATATGATCATTACAAATATAATTATTATATATAAAATATGACACAAAGACTCACAAACCGGCTCGCGAGCTATGAGCCTAAAATAAATGGGCTTGAATTGAGCTTGTTAACTATTCGAGTCGAGCTTAATATGACCAAACTCGAATCGAGCTTTTCCCGAACGATCCACGAGCAGCTCATGAGCAGCTTAGCTCATTTACACCCATAATCCGTGCGTGTGACCAATGACTAATAGTGAAAAACCAAATTGAAGGAGAGCTTCTTAATCTCTAAGCTCAGCTTAAGAGTTTTTATCACTTTTAATCATTCACTTTTATGTTAGTTACACTTTTAGTGCTCGACTTTGATATTTCTACTTTTAGTCATTCGAGTTTTGTGCGAGAAACACTTTCATTCGTGTTTGAATTTTTTATTAAGTCCTTTGTCATAAGAGTGACATTTTTATTCCTTTAACTTCCATCATATGGACATTTTTAACCTTCCACTTCTGATAAAATGATAGTCAAAAGCCTAAAAGTGTCAGTTTGACCATACTCAGGGAACGAAATGTGGAGAATTTCAAAGCCAGGAACTAAAAATGTCTCCCTCTCAATATTCAATTACTAAAAGTAAGAAAAATCAAAGCCAACTACCAAAAATGTCACTATCACAATAGTCGAGAGGAAAAAAGTGGCAAAAACATTTCCACTCAATATTACATTTAGAGAAATCAGAACTGATATGTGTCTTCTTGGGTTGGATGAGAGTATGACTTTGGAAAGAGCAAAGTGGAGGACGCACATCCGTGTGGACGATTGATGTCTTTTCTACATTTCCTCTCTTCTTCTTTTATTGTTTATCTTTTTTATCCTTTTATATTCTTATGTTATTTTTATCTTCTAACTTTTTTATGCTCTTTTATTTTTTATCTA